GGGGGGGGGGGGGTGTATTATGGTGTGTTTTTTCTTTTGTTATATATGTTGTATCTAAAAACCAAGTCCAATGAAAACTTGTTTTTGGGTGGAGTGAAGAAAATCAATTGTTCGATGGCTGTCTGTTTCTATTGGGGAGTTTCCTATCACTTCTGATCCCAGGAACAGAGACGCCATTAAAAACTCTTTTTTTTTTTTCTTTTAGTACAGTGGCAAAAATGTAGAACCTTTGTCATGGCCTGACAAAGTTTGGAAATAAAGGTTAGGTTTAGGGTTATGCTAAGTTATGAACTTGAGATCTGTGCCCTCTTGTCCTGGAAACCTTTGTATCCTTTATTTCTTGTACTGCTGGTACCTCAGTGTTGGATACACATTACCTCTTTTATATCCATTGACACCTATCAGCTTTGTACATTTAAGCCTCTCAACCCTATCGTTTCTTTTTGTGTGACGCAAGAGCTGTCATTTCATACCCAGACCAGTGTAAGCGTTGCTTTGTTTACATTTTGCTGTCTGCTGAACCTACGATGATGTCTCTGTGAAGGTTCTCATTCATCCAGGTCATGGTATATCTGTAAAAAATAAGTCAAGGCAACTGGACACGCTGTATTTTTCTTGATGTTTCACTGGTCGTCCAACCAGCTTTTTCAAGAAAGTTGAGAAAGCTGGTCGGATGTCCAGTGAAACGTCTTCAAGAAAAATACAGCGTGTCCAGTTGCTTTGACTTATTTTTTACAGATATCTACAATGATGACTGCATTGCAAGATTGAGAGCAGCAGAGAAGGTATCAGGGCTGTAATTAAATGTAAAATCTACTTTTTAAAGGCATAATACCATGTTTTTAGTTTGCTGCCCTGTAGATTGCAGCCTCATAAATACGTGGGAGGACAGCTGGTGGAATCAGCTACCAGAAAACCAAGAAGCTGACAACCTCAACTATTATGAAGCTTCTTGATAAATTGATCTCCCCAGCATACAGTCCCTTGGAGCTTTGAAATGCAAAAACCTACATTCACTTTAAACTCGTCAACTTTCCCACGTAGTGCAATGTGAACAATCTCCACTGTGCTGCGAATTGTTGCTTTACAGCCCTCCTTGTTCAGTTTACATTTGAGGTTTGTAGAGGAATGTTTGGCTTTACAATCTCCTGGCTTGTACACAGATTTTTTTTAATGCTTTACTTCTTTTGATCAGCATAACATTGGACGATGCACAGAACCGAGAAGAAACTCTTCTTTCAGCAGCTGCTTTTTCTAGCTTTGCAAAATGTTGTTGACCTGCTAAAAATAGTATTATTGATGCCACCAGTTCTGGGTAGTTGATAGTGCTGGACTTTCATATGCGTATATTTTAAGTTCCAAAAGTGAGGTTTTTGAGTTTTTAGCACAGCAGGAAGCGAAAACCACTTGTCCTCATTGAACGGTCAAGGAAACGTAATAGGGCAGTAAACCGTGTTCCAGTAATGACTTCACAAGTGCTTTTTTCAGTCTCTAAATCAGCAATACCATCTAGTGGTTGCTTTAAAATATGCCTGAAAGGGAACCCATAGTCTCTTCAAAGTTTTCCAGGTGGTATATGCATTTTTGGGTGGGTGAAATGTGACAAAGCTTTGATAACTTTATTTTTTGTAATCATTGTAAGAGAATAAAAGATAGTGA